AAAAATGAAATAGTTTTTTTATGATCTAAAACTTTAATCTAAAACCTTTATCATATTTTTTGAACTAAAAATAATTTTTTAAACTAAAAAATAAAAAAATTAAATAAAAAAAAATATTCTCTTAGTTATTTATAAGCTATAAAAAAAAATAAGACGAAAAGAAAAATGCAAATAAAAAGACATATATATTTGCTACTAATTAAAACAACTTCTAGCAATGTAATGCTAACAAAAATTACTACATACAGATTGATAAATATGAATTCATAAGCTATATTTAATTTTACTAATTATCATATAATTAATCAAATTGATTGAAAACAAAATTATATTAATTATTAGTAAATTCATCCTAAAAAATTATAAATTTAATGTAAATATATGTTAAAATAAATATTCTAATTAAATTAAAAAAATTCTTTTATTTTTGCTTTAATTTAAAAAATAAATTAAATATATACTTAGAGTTCTGAATAGGTTAGTTCAGGTTAGGTCAATCAAGTTACCTGAACTGAGAGGATCAGGTCAGGTCAAACAAAAATCTGATCTGATTTAAATTTTAATTTGACCTGATCTAATCTGATCGAATTATAAACATTATTTTGAATGATAAAACCATCATTTTTAAATGATAAATCATTATTTTTGAATGGTAAATCATCATTTTTGAATAATAAATCATTATTTTTGAATGATAAATCATCATTTTTGAATGATAAAATTATTGTTCTCAAATAATAATGAATCATTCTAATTGAACAATACAAATATCATTAAAGAATGTTAAAAATATTGTTCAAGAACGATAAAACTATCGTTTAAGAATAACAAATTATCATTTTAATTGAATGATAAAACATCATTTTTAAATGATAAAACTATCATTCTTAAATGATAAATCATCATTTTTGAATGATAAAATCATCATTCTTAAATAATAATGAATCATTCTAATTGAATGATAAAACTATCATTCTTGAAAGATAAACCATCATTTTTGAATGATAAAATCATCATTCTTAAATAATAACGAATTATTTTAATTAAATGATAAATTATCATTCTAATTGAATGATAAAACATCATTCTTGAATGATAAAACCATCATTCTCAAATGATAAATCATCATTCTCAAATGATAAATCATCATTCTCAAATGATAAATTATCATTTTTAAATGATAAAACCATTATTCTTAAATAATAATGAATCGTTCTAATTGAACGATAAAATATCATTCAAGAATGATAAAATCATTATTCTCAAATGATAACAAATTATTCTAATTGAATGATAAAACATCATTCACAAATGATAGAAATATAATTCTTGAATGATAAAATTATTGTTTAAAGATGATAAAAATATCATTTAAGAATGATAAAACATCGTTCATGAATGATAAAATATCATTCTTAAATAATAAATCATCATTCTAATTGAACAATAAAATATTATTCTTGAACAATAATCATTATTATCAGACAATAAAATTATTATTCTCAGATGATAATGAATCATTCTAATTGAATGATAAAACTATTATTCTTAGATGATAAAACATCATTCTCTAATGATAAAATATCATTCTCGAATGATAAAACTATCATTCAATAATGATAATGAATCATTCTAATTAAACAATAAAACATCATTCAAGAATGATAATTGTTTAACCTGAATTTTGTCAGGTCAGGTCAGGTTAGTTTGACCTGTTGACCTGATCTGATATTAACCTGAAAATCTACTGACCTGACCTGGATTTTCAGGTCAGGTCAGGTTAGGTAAACAGGTTAACCTGACCTGCTTCAGAGTTCTATATATACTGTATATTATTAACTTCAACTGGAATATCCGCCTAAAACATAAGAGCAAAACCATTTATTCTACCTTCAAAACTGGACAATATAACGATCATTATCAACACTAATATTAGATGATAAAAAATCCAAAATAGAGCTGCTAAAAATAAAAGCAATCATAATTGAAGAAACCTCTATGATATTCAGTAAACTGTTAACTTTTATAAGCAACATATTCAGTTTACTACACAAAATCATAAACCATTTGGAGGATTTCCAATGGTGACCTCGCCCAACTACCTTTGTCAATGGACAACAAATAATTTACTTACCGATCTGGAAACTATTTTTTTCTCTCTTCTTATCACAACCAAAATGACAAAAAATGATCCAGGCTTCTACAATCTTCTCTAAGAATTGAGATTTAAACAACTCTCCAAAAAATCGAAATCAATGATAAACCAAAATATCTCTGAATCAACCAACCTAAATGCAATGATAAGCTCACCATACATCATTAGCCTTTGTAAAACTGCACAAGAAATCAACACCTTCATCTGTAAAAACTAACTATTAAGTAATAAAATCCAGAAATCATTATATTAAAACCTATAGATAATCTCAACAACTAGATAATCAACAACGAAAATAACTAACTTCATTTCAAAAGTCATACCAACTTACCAAACTTTATAATAATACAAGAAGGTGCGCGAATGATGTACTTAAACAATAAACTCTTCAAACATTAAATATGAAATGGGAGCATCGGAGTAGTAATAAAAGACACAAATAACAAAAATATAGAGATAACCTTTCTTATGACAGATAATATAACCAAAATTTACATACATCAAACTTCAACATCAATGGTCTTCCAGAATCACGACGCTAATCCTCAATCCAGAATGCCTTTGCATTAACTGTAAACAAAAAATCAATGAAAACATGTTCTCAACCAGTTACACACATAAACCAAAAAGGTCTAACGAAATTCTGAACTAACCACTAAATAAAAGACCTGATAAAATAAAAAAAAAATACATCCGAATATCTGAAGGCTCACGATATATCATAACCCCGAGCAGGGCTCCCCGCGCGTATTCTGAGCAAAAAAGGCTTGTTTATTATAGAAACCTTCAATGAATATTATTGCTCATCACGTGTAAAATTAAAAAATGTGAGATCGTTGATCAGCTTTATTCGATCGAACCTTCAACTATTGAATTTGAAATGTATATTAGTAACCACAAATTATATGTTGACTTATAAATGTAAATAAATCATTTTTCTTTTAAAATTTCCCAATAATCAACTTAATAATATTATGAAGTATAGTTCAAGCAATTATTGAAAATTAACAAAGAAATTTTATTTCCGATTTTAATTTGCGATATAATAAATGCATATTTTTGACAAGTCACCTTTTGCCAAAATTAACATATCATATAACTATTGCAAAAGTATTTATTCCAAAATCTTTGGTCTATAGAATTTTATTTTGCTAAATATTGACAAATTCGGATAGCGTATCTATATGAAAAATGACTAAAGTTACATATCGGCGCTCTTTTTTTTGTTTCTCGCATGGATAATCAATTGCAGCTTAAAATTATATAATATATATATATATATAATTTTAAGGTGCTAATAGGTTCAAAAGAGATTTTGATTATATAATAAAATATTTGTCACATAGTATCACGTCTTTTACATTTTTACTATTCATTCAGAGGACAGAGTTTTTTTGAGTAGCTAAACCTTATTTGTCACATACCAATTTGTCACAGTTAGAATTGGATTAGGGTTAGGGTTTGGTTTCGTTAGGGCTAGTTAGGTTAATTGGGGTTAGGTATTAGCATATTTTGGTCAAATATCAAATGTCCGAGGATTTTTGATCCCCCGATGATCATATAGACCTTTGCAATAGAAAAGCTGGAAAATAAAAATTGAGTTAATGCTAAACCTGAACATATTTTGACCTAAAATCATATTTGGCATATTAAATTAAAATTGAATTTTCTGGCTGTTTCCCACCTTTCTATTGCAAAGATCCCATATCATGGGATTTACCTTCTTTGATTAAAAAAAAGCAAAAAACAAATCGCTAATTTAAAAATTTAATAAAATGTGTCTCCTTGATTAACCAAATCAAGTAGAAAGGGGATGATATAATTTTTAAAGTAGAAACTCAATAAAATTTTTTTTTTTTTTGGTAGATTTTCTCCCATTTTCTTAAAAGTATTCATTAGTAACAATAATTGCATTGCCGAACGTATTGAATGACAACCTTATATCAAGAAAAATTAGCTTCGCTCTAGTCAAAATTAGTTTTGCCGAAAAATCAGGAATTTCCACTTCGTACACAATTGATTGTATAAAAATCCTGTCTTATATCGTATCGGTATGATTTTAAATGTGACCGAAATACAAGGTTCGTGTCTGGATAAAACATCGTCCCCACAATTTGGTTATAAAATCAAGTTACGCTTCATTTAAAATTATTAAAAAATTTTCCAACCATTTTTTTTTTCTGATCGTCCGCATTTCCATTTAGATTTATACCGTTAGTTCTCTGAATTATGATTTTAAATGACCAAACCGTCGAATTCGTCGAAATTCAGTTTTTCATTGTTTAATCAATTTTCGTGTAGGTAAGAAAGTTGTCTTTTTTTTTTATTCCAATATTATTTTAGTTATTAACTTTCCATATACAATAACAAACATACCAGTATGCATTTATAAAAAAAGCATTTCTTTTAAAGTTAATTTTTTTTTTAAGAATCAAACCTTTTTGTTTATCTATTCGATATGTTTTGCAAACAAACGTCTTTCTACGGATAATTTACGATATTTTACCGAAAATTATTTTGCTGACTACTGAATGAAATTTTATTGATTTTAATACACAAGTTTTATTGCATGTGTCCGTCATATAAGTTCCCACTAATCCGGAAGACTTTGTAAATGAAATCCAGAGAGAGATGTGAGACTTTTTATCATAATCATACACTAACCTAAACTTGAGATTGTAGGAAATCCGAGATGTTCAGTTTCATTAGTTTGGACTTTGTACCGATCATTTGGATTTTTTTTTATCCTTTAACATTTCCGAATTGATCCGTAGTCATACTCACATTTTTCACAATTATCTCCATTTTTCTCAAAGAATGAACTCCACTATTTTCACTTCTTCCATCAATTATCTTCAAAACTTGTTGTATGAGATGTCAGGCGCCCTCGTTGCCAAAAAGTTACTGACAAAGAAAAGTCCTTTTTTTTTAAAAAAAAAAAAGAAAGTAGAAAGTAGGTTGGGACCTTTTTCTGACATTCTTCTTCAACTTACTCTATAGAACTCTCTCACAACGGGAAGGTAGTTATCCTTTTCAGTATCCAGTGAAAAGATTTTGAATAGGTACTGACAGTTCATTTAATTTTTTTTATTTATGAAATCTAATTAATTAATCCTTAATTGTCTAACTTTTAAGTTTAGTGGGGAAAGGATTCGGTGATTCAAAAGGGATTGAACTAGTATTAGGCATCCTATTCAGATTCTACAATTATTACAAGATAGAATTTTTTCATTATTGATGGTTATACGACTTTATGTTATTTTTCCAATTGATACAACTGGTTAACTAATTTTAGTAAGACCGAACATAAAAAAATATTTAGATTCTCGCACATAATAATTTTAAAATGAAGCCCGGATTTTTTTTTTTATTCGTTAAATTTTTTTATTTTATTTTTTTTATATGTATGTTACACAAAGTATCAAGTATGTATTGATAGTGAAAACTATAATTTATATGGCAGGGTCACCTTTTTTTATATATTTAAATTAAAAACGTAATTGTATGGTTTAAAATTGTTAGTTCCGCTATACGTATTTTTACGTAATTGTGATTAATTGTTTCACAGCAAACTTTCTTTGACTCTCATCAACAAAAATTATGAATGTGAGATTCTATCTCTATTGTTTAATAAAAATGGTTAATCAAAGATGATAAATATCATAATTTTTTACGCCTTTAAATTAATAATATCCCAGGTGGTATTTTGCCTCTCTGCTTGAGGCCTAAGAAACGTTTATTATTTCTTTCATTTAATTTTTCGAAAAATTAATTAATTATCGTCTACATTTTACGATGAAATTTTTTAAACGTTTTTTTCATAGGGAATTCTTTAGTAATTTGGAGGTTTGTTATTAAAATCAAGTTTATTTTACAGCTGTTTTCATAATTCACAGGACACTCGGCAAATTTGTCGCCGAATACTTGCCAGCAATCCGGGTTGTCAGCAACAAGTTTGCCGAGTGCTGTAATAGCAAAACTCAATTTATTTATGATCAGTAATTTTTATTCTTGTAATAATGCCCGACTTTGAATTTGGATAAACAAAAGTAGTAAATTGAGAGATCGAACAAATTGAAGTAGTGGGAGGGTAAACTTGATAGTTTATTATTTTATAATTTAAATTTCATTTTATTAACGTAACAAAAAAAATTTGTTTTATTGTGTATATGATCGATTATTATGGTCATTACGAGCAGATATAAACTGTTTGTAAATCAAATTGAAATCGGTTCATTTACTTTATTTTACCCTCTTTCTGCTTTGAATACCTTCACAATGATTCGTTTCTAAAAAAAAAAAATTGCTAAGTATAAGAAAAAAAAAACCTCCGAAAACAAAACATTTCAAAAGACTTACAAGTATCGATTACAATTTATTTTTTTAATAGACGACTTATACTGTAATTTCACTGATCGTTTATTGGTTAAATTGGAAACTTATTTTGGTTTTTGTTTTTTTTTAATATCGATTCTATAAAAAGAAAAATCAATTAGAATATTAGAAATGTGCAAGTATAGCAAAAAAAAAAGAATTTTCGTGATTCATTCGTTGAAATATGTCGCGGCTTTCAATAGCTCCTGCACCACAAATCGAAATAATTCATTATTGCTAAATCATTTTATTTTAAAGTAACTTCACAGTTATGCATGATTGGTTATTTTTCATGACATAGCAAAATCTTTTTTTTTTATTTTGCTATTGAATTGACTGCAAAGGTTGTGAATTCATCAATCAAATAGTAGCTGTGAAGGTATCAGTGATAAACCGTGAAGTTAAGGTACATTGAGTATTGTTAAGGAGTTGGGAGTCTGGTTAATTGAGTATTATTACAGTCTAGCACGATATATTTGTAAGGGCGTTTAATATACTAGGGAATGGTTGGAAACCATTGTTAAGTCCGGAGCACAGTTTAACGAAAGGGACCAACCACGTATCGACTCAAATTTTGAGCGGGCGGACAGCGCGACATCTGTATCACCTTGCATAATTATTGTTACTGTTACGATTAAATGCAAATTCCGGCCGAAATCTTCATAATTTCGCTTGAAGATCGCTCTTGATAATAGCAGTTAGTCCCTTTGACGATCATTTGCCAGGTTGTCCGCCAGTTTGTCAAGATGCCAGTTTGTCAAGACGCCAGTTTGTCAGGTGCCAGTATGACAAATGGTCAAAATGCCAGGTTGGCTTAATTAAAGATCTTTTATAAATACGAGCCGGAAATCCTAAAACAGCTAAATATCCCATGCCCGCCCTGAGCATATTTCTTTGAAAACATTCCCTTCGCTATCTTCCCTTTACACTGTTGGCTTGGTATCTGTAAACTTAAACGATAAACTTTTAATTCAATCCGTCGAATTAAATACAAGACAATATCACAATCACGCCTATATGAAGACACGAAAAAGGCAATAGTAAATGAATTTAATGATTCCTTTATTGAACTCTTGGTTTATCCTAAAACCTTAACTTGAGTTACTTTTCAACTCAAGGGAAAATACAAGATATTTATATAAAATAAAATAATATAAAAATCAACTATAACAAATATAACAAAGAGAACAAATAATATAACTATGATAAATATAACATATATAATAAATAAGATATAATTAATAAATATGATAAATTTAATCCATATATCTAATATGTCCACTTGATCAACGTTGACAACTTTAGCAACTCTGTCAACTCAACTTCGTCAACTATGTCGATCATTTAGATCACATGACTTTATTTTAGCGCAGTCACGGGATCACGGCTTCAACACCTTCGCGACAATTTCGATTTTCGCCCTTTAAATTTTATATTTTCGCATTTGTAACACAGTTTAGTGTTTTTTTATTATTAATTTCCGATTTTATTTGTAATTTATTATACAATTTTTATGTAACAGTTTCGTAATTACGTAGTTAGAATTTATTACTTGGCATTTACATAGTTTAATATATTGAAAAAGCGAAAGTGTAGAGCGCCGACGTTAAGGCAACACTGATAAATTTGATCACATTAAATAAATTCTTGTAATAATTACTTCATTTTTATTCAACAATTGCTCAATAAAACCTTCTGCTTACATTACAAATTGTTTATAAATACATAAACGAAAGAACTGAATACAACATTACGATTCGTAATCGTTTGAAACTATCAATAAAATGATAGTATTATCGTAAATTATATTTGACGTTTTATTTTCAATTTTAATACTACTATTTTTATCTGATTATCATTTGAATCAATCGATATGTCCCACTAAATGAATTATTCATACTGGAATAATTTTTTTTTTTCTGACGATTGAAGGTTTGACATAGCCGGACGATAATTATGGATCATCGTCCCAGCATTTTAAAATCACAGAATATAATTTTGGCCGAAAACTCCATAATTCCGCATGTAAATCGCTTTCGATATTTGTAGTTAGTCTTTTGAAGATTATTATGCTAGCTGTCAAAGATGCAAGGAAATCCTTAAACAGTTCAACATTCCACGCTCGCCCTTATTATAATTAGCATACATACACCTTGAAATCCTTTAACCCCTTCGCGATATTTTCGCTTTCGCCGTTTTTAACATTTTAGATTTTGTATTTGTAACTTCGTTTATTTTTAATTCAATTTTTTGTAATTGGTAATTGCGCAGTTTTAATAATTAGAATTTATTGATTGGCATTTACTTAGTTTAATATATCGACATTGTGAAAGTGAGGCATCACTTATTAATTTGATATTATTAAATAAATTTAGCGTCAATATTACTTCATTAACACTATATACAGTTCATGTCATATAGATGTTGGTTTCAGGTGATTCTACTTTATATAGTGGAAGATATGGCCATTCCCCAAAAGGAAGCAATAGGTATAAATTTGGTTAGCTTCATGCAAGAACTATGGGGGCCGTTTTTATTTATATCGATATCAATATCAATATTGATATTGATAGGAACAACGGTTGTTTATATATGATTTTTTTTAAAAAAAAAATTGGGAGGTAATGATTACGATTACTAATTTAAAAGAATTCGTCGAAATCATATACTGCGGTAATGAAAATCCTGTTTCATCTGATAATTTCAGCCAAAGGATGAACTGATCTTGATCTAACCTAAAACTGCCTAAATCAAATAAATAAGATGAAATAAATAAAATTAGTAATCAAATTAATTACCAAAAT